AGAGAGAGAGAGAGAGAGAGAGAGAGAGAGAAACATTGATGTGAGAGAGAAACATCCATCAGCTGCCTCCCTTATTCACTCTGACCCAGGATCCAACGCACAACCTAGGTACGTACCCAGACTGGGAATCGAACCACAAGCTTTTGGTGTATGAGACCACGCTTCAGCCAATTGAGCCACCTGGCCAGGCTCTGGTTAGTATCCTTGCCACCTGATGTGGCTGTGCTCAAAGCTGGAGTGGCTGCGGAACCTGACAACACCTGTGGAAGTCCATTCAAGGCTGCATAAAAATTTCTTTTGTAAAGATTTCTCTTTAGCACTCTGATATCTTCAGAGGGATGCAACATTGTGTTCAAATAGAGAAGGAAGCCTAATTATTTTGTTGAGAACATAATTGAGTTTGTGCAATAAGTTGAATGTAGGTTTTGACTTCTTGGTAGTGACGGGACGGGTGCTCCATGGATAAATGACACTCGGTCAACCAGGAGGAATGTTTAAAGGAGACAGAGACTCAAAGACAATAGATTTTCCAAGTTGATGGCTCTATTCAGCGTTTCTACAGAGGCAGTGAAAGCATATGAGTAATGTTCCTGAAATGGAGTTCTCTTCTCCCTAAATGTTCATAAGTATTGGGGGGGGGGGTATGTGGGAGGGGAACTAGTTAGTAGTATAGTATGCTTGTTCTTGACCTTGTCTATAGCCCTTGCCTGAACATAAAATCTAACAGGGCAGTGAATAAAAGTCCCGATTTTAGATTTCCCCAACTAATGCACAAATACAGAACAGGGGAGCGAGATAATTGGGCGGATAGAACAAAGTAGGGGAGGGTTGTACTTATAGCTAGGTGTGTGTCTACAGAATGATGTGGGGATGTTGGATTGTGCTTTTGGAAGTAGACTATCCAGAACAAAGGGAGATAATAGTCCTGTTGGACTCTGTAATGGTCAGATTGCTTACATCTATTCGGTTCTGCAGGTCCACGTTACAAGGCACATGGAACAGATTTGCATATAAAAACCAGGTCAGGAGGTAGTCAGCAACTAAAATGGTGAAAGAGCTATATGCCTGGTCAGGAATTTTTTAAAGCAATTGAGTATGTTTGGTCTGGAGAAGAGAAACAATAGAATATGAAGTTATCTTTAAGTTAGATATATTGTATTTATTACAGATATAAAGGAAAGATTTGGGATTAAGTGAGTAGA